AGGGAAGGAAGGAAGGAGAGAAGGAGGGAGGGAAGGAAGGAGAGAAGGAGGGAAGGAAGGAAGGAGAGAAGGAGGGAGGGAAGGAAGGAGAGAAGGAGGGAGGGAAGGAGGGAGGGAAGGAGATAAGGAAGGAGGGAGGGAAGGAGGGAGGGAGGGAGGGAAGGAGGGAAGGAAGGAGATAAGGAAGGAGGGAAGGAAGGAGATAAGGAAGGAGGGAAGGAAGGAAGGAGAGAAAGAGGGAGGGAAAGAAGTAGGGAGGGAGAGGAAGCGGAAAGGAAGGAGGGAGGGAGGGAAAGAAGAAGGGAGGGAGGGAAAGGAGGGAGAGAGGAGAGGAAGAATTCAAACCATAGAGAGTGGTTCTTAACTTGGCTGTTCACTGAAGCAGAATCTCTAGGGGTGGGGCCCGGACACCCGCATTTTTAGAGTCGCCCAAATGATTTGCACAGGTAGCAGGATGAAAAACTCCTGGTCTTCAGGCAGTCAGCAGTGGGCCGCCTCACCCTTCTTGGGCCTTAGGTATGAACTATTTGCTCATTGTCTCTTTGCACCATAAGTGAAGGCAAAAGAGCCTTTGCTGCTTCACAGCCAGGAAAGCTGAAGTGAAGGCGCCGGTCTCCCATGAGACAGAGAGAGTGATCCCCCCGGCCCCTCACAGCGCTGGGCCCATGTCCCTGACAAGCTCCTTTGTCATTTAGAAAACGCTGGGCAAATGGAAGAGCGCAGGGTGGACCCCCACCTGGAGCCCCTGGGTCGAATCCTGAGCACAGGCCCGGCTTGTGGCCCAGAGGTTTGAAAACATCTGAATTCACTGCCAATATTTTTGAATGGAGAGCTTTTACAGGAAGATCCAGCTTTCTGGCTTCTCCCGTAAAAATCAGAACTGGCAACAAGGGGCTTGCCACTCTTGGTGCCGCTTTCCTTGGGTGTGGGGAGGGGCACACACTCCCCAGCCACCTGCGCCTCGCATTCCCCGCTCTACCTGGCTGTGGGGCACAGTCCCGGACGAACACTGCAGGGTCCACAGGACATGTCGCTGCCCTGCCTTGGTCATGGCCTTCCCACAGCTCAGCCCCATCGCCTGTGGCTTCTGCTGTCCCTGCGTCTCCCCCACCCTCTTTAACCATCTCCTCTTTCTCCTATTGGTCCTGACTTGAACTGACCCTGAGATCATCTCTCATTTTAAAAGATTTGTGTATCTGGCTGGGTGTGGCGGCTCATGCCTGTAATCCCAGCACTTTGGGAGGCCAAGGTGGGAGGAGTGCTTGGGTCCAGGAGTTCATGATCAAACTGGGCAACATAGCAAGACCTCATCTCTGCAAAACATAAAATAAACTAGCCAGTCGTGGTGGTGTGCACCTGTAGTCTCAGCTACTCTGGAGGCTGAGGTGGGAGGATCGCTTGAGGCCCGGGAGTTTGAGGCTGCGGCAAGCTGTGACGATGCCACTGTACTGCAGCCTGGGCGACAGAGCGACGTCCTATCTCTAAACAATATCAACAGTAATGAGTTGCTTGTCCATTAAAAGCATAAACTGTGGCATCACACATTCACGTTCTACCTTTGGTTCGGTCACAATGTGACCCTGGGCAAGTCACTTGACTTGTCTGAGCGTCAGTTTCCAAAATGGCAACATTAATAGTCTCCACTCACAGGGCTGCCACGAGGGCGAAACAAGAACGCTGTGTCCCCTGCCTGGATGGTGGTGTGCGTTCAGGAATCCGTGGCTGTGAGGATCGCTATTTTAATTGTAACTCTGCCTATGAAAAGCGTTCCTGGTCCTTCCATCAAAAACAACAGTGAATGATCAAAACCCAACCCAAAGCAAAAACTCCCCCGAGACTGTCAACCTCTGAATAGGAGAGATGACACGGAGCTCATTTCTCCTGGCTTTGATTAAAATTTGAATACTTTCTTTACTTTGGGTAAAAAAAAAAAAATTAAAAAAATAAAAATAATTAGAAAATGAAATATGACTTAGAGGACAAAAAAAATGAAGTAGAAAAATGGGACGTGTCAACACAGTGGTACCAGCAGTTTCAAGGATATCCGTCTTCATTCTCCCTGCTCTACTCGGACTTAGGGGAAGAAACCTATCTGGGGGTCTCTCCACAGCTCCCCAGCTCCAGGCCTACCGGGTCATCGGCCCCCAGGCCGGCCTGGGTGAAGGGCCGCTCGTCCCCCTCGCCGTCAGCCGTGCTGGGCCTCCTCAGCGCCTCCTCGTCTTGCAGGCTGGCCAGGCTCCCCACGTCCACGTCAAACATCTCATCAGAATAGAATATGGCCTCGAGAATGTCATCGTCGGTCGTGAATAAGATCGTGTCTCCAAAGTGCTCCGGGGCTGATGGGTTACCAAGACGACAGAAGGGTCAGCTCACTCCACATCCCAGTGATTGGTCGGTTAAGAGCCCAGACCCACCCACTTCTGTGCTATACACCTGCACACCCCTAACTGGTATTGATTCGTGTGAACCTTATTCGTCTTCACAGATTTGCAAATGTAAGGCACGGACCATAAGCATCACACGGACCTAAAGAAGGGACCTCATTTCATGAGAATCACTGTGACCTGTGATCTGTCATCAGGCCAATGGCACTTCTTTGGTGTGGGAGGGGCACTACGCCAGATGCTGGCAGTACCCCACCCAGACCCCGGTGGGTCCTCTTCTTGGAGTGCCTTGCCTGGAAGGGTGTGGGAGTTACACCCACAACCTGGGAAGACTTGGCTGTAATGAGCGGCTGGTAGGTGGGGTTCTAATGCCATGCTCCTTCACCTTCAGGCAGGAAAGACCTGAAATTTATGTTCCAGAGCTCCCTCGAGATCTGGCCGAGGCTCAGCTTCCTGGCAACTATATCCTTGCTTCACTACGCCAGGTTTCTCCTAGAAGCACGCCCTCCATAAGTCACCTGCCAAAGAATGCCCCATCTCAGACTCAGGCTTTAGAGGCCAGGCCAAGACAGGTGCTTTATGGAGGAGCTGAATGAGGTCAGGCCTAGCACACTCATGCTGTGGGAAGGGATGAGCACACCAGGTCTGTGGCCAGGCACAGGGGCTCATGCGTGTAATCCTAGCACTTTGGGAGGCCCAAGGTGGGTGGATCACTTGAGCCTAGGAGTTCGAGACCAGCCTGGGCAACATGGCGAAACCTCGTCTCTACAAAAAATACAAAAATTAGCCAGGAGTGTTAGTGCATCTGCAGTTCCAGCTACTCAGGAGGCTGCGATGGAAGGATCACTTGAGGCCAGGAGGTTGAAGCTGCAGTGAGCTGAGATCATGCTATTGTGCAGAGCGAGAGAAAGAAGAATAAAGAAAAAGAAAGAAAGAAAGAAAAAGAAAGAAAGAAAGAAAAAGAAAGAAAGAAAAGAAAAGAAAGGAAAGGAAGGAAGGAAGGAAGGACAGAAAGAGAGAGAAAGGAAGAAAGAAAGGAGGGAGGGAGGGAGGAAGGACGGATGGAGGAAGGAAGGGGGAAAGAAGGAAGGAAGGAAAAGAAAGAGAGAAAGAAAAAAGGAATGAAAGAAAGAGAAAGAGAGAAAGAGAGAGAAAGAAAAAGAAACAGAAGGAAAGAAGAAAGAAAGAAAGAAAGAAAGAAAGAAAGAAAGAAAGAAAGAAAGAAAGAAAGAAAGAAAGAAAGAAAGAGAAAGGAAGGAAGGAAGGAAGGAAAAGAAAGAGAGAGAGGAGAAAAAAGGAGGGAGGGAGGAAGGACGGATGGAGGAAGGAAGGGAGAAAGAAGGAAGGAAGGAAAGAAAGAGAAAGAAAAAGAGAAAGAAAGAAAAAGAGAAGAAAATGAAAGAAAGAAAGAGAAAGAAAGAGGGAAAGAAGGAAAGAACGGATCTGCTGTTGGCTCGCCAGTTGGTCTGTTTCTTCCCATAGGCCCTCAGCACGTGGCAGACAGGGGCTCTGAGAGCTTTTCTTACAGACGCGCCGTACCTCCCGCCAGGGTTCCCGAGGCCTTGGCGATTTCTCCTTCAAAGATGCACTGGCCGTCTAACAGCATGGTGATGTCCTTCACGCCTCGGAAGGAATGTATCCGAGATTTATTGTAGTTCCAGATTCTGATCAGGGCAACGTGGCAAGGGTGCGTGAAGTCGATGGCGATAGAGTGGGACCTGCCTGGCGTGAAGGGGGCCAGCCAGACATGCATGTCGTCCTGGGTCCTGTTCACCCCGTCGATGAGGTTGGTCACCACGCGGGGGTCTTTCCCATAGGCTGGTAAAATATTGATGTCGGGGGGGTCCGCTTTAATGTTTGAAATCTGCACCGGCTCGCCTTTGGAACTGAATATTTCTATTCCATTGAGGCCGACATAGTGTCTGTCCCCCCAGGTAGATGTGATGTCAATGACCAAGCGCTGTCCATAAGGCAAGACGGGGATTTTGAAGTCACCCTCGGCGTCTGTCTGTCCAGAGCAGCCGTCCTGCCCTCTCGATGGCCCTGGTGGCTCCCCCTTCCTGGAGGGCAGCAGGTCGCTATGCCGGTTGCTCTTCTGCTGCAGGAATTCGTCCAGGATGTCACCGGGGAGTTCCGTGTTGGAGATGCGTCCCCGGTGGGAGTGGTCGAAGGCACTGAGGGAGGTCCACGACTCGTGCAGTGTGTGCTCCTGCTCACTGTGCCACCTTGACCGTGACGGCGTCCTGGCAGACTGGGTGTCTTCTGGAAGAAAGGACACAAGAGAGGGAGGTCTGTGAGTGGCACACGTGGAAGTGAGGACCATTAGAGATTGTCACCTATGGTGGCTCTCAGCGAGGCAGGGCCACCTCCAGGGGGACCCTCCAGAAACCAGCACTGTTGCTCCTGGCTGTCTCCTTAGCCAAGAGGCCTCCTGGCACTGGATGGATAGGGCCAGGCACGTTACAATCCTGCACTGCCTGGGGACCCCAGCTCAGAGCTTGGTCTCCTGTCCCACACAGCTTCTGACTGCCCTGTGGGGCACTCAGGTCGGTAAAAAAATTGTGATAACTCAATTCCAGAATCTGGTTGTTTTTGCAAAAACACAAAGTATTTTTTCACAGACAGAATTTTCTAAGAATGCAATCATCGTGCGAATCAAGGGAAGACGACTTGGCTGTGTCAGAAATGTTGCCAGGATTCGCTCCCCACTGTAGAAACCCACATGACCGGCGGCTATGCTGCTGCCCGGGGCATCTGAGTCAGCAACAAGAGGGTCTGCGCTGGAGGCCTGTCACAGTCACGTGACTCTTAACGGTGTTTTCAAAGACAATTTAATGGCAGATGGAAGGCTCGCAGAAGAATGTTAAATGGAAAAAGGCAGATACCCATTTTAAATGCGGCGTATCCTGGTACGGGGTGACACGCACCCATGTTAATAGCATTGTTCCTGGTTTCTGGGTGGGGAGCAGGAAGGACTTTTATTTTCTTCTTTGCAGCTTGATTGTTTAAAGTTCCCCACATGCATTACTTTTATTTTCTTTATTTTTTATTTTTTTAGAGACAGGGTCTTGCTCTGTCACCCAGGTGGAGAGCAGTGGTGTGATCAAGGCTCACTGCAGCCTTGACCTCCTGGCCTCAGGCGGATCCTCCTGCTTTAGCCCGCTGAGTACTTGGGATTATAGGTATGACCACTGTGCTTAGCCTTTACTACTTTTATAATCAAGAAAAAATGCTACTGACTGATTGAGACAGGGTCTCACTCTGTCACCCAGGCTGGAGTGCAGTGACGTGATCATGGCTCACTGCAGCCTTAACCTCCCAGGCTCAGGTGATCCTCCCACCTCAGCCTCCCAAGCTGCTGGGCCACAGGTGTGTGCCAACATGCTCGGCTAATTTTTATTTAATTCTTAGAGGTTTTATTTTTTGGGGTTTTAATTCTTATTTATTTTTTGAGACAGGGTTTTGCCATGTTGCCCAGGCTGGTCTTGAACTCGGCTCAAGTGATTCAGCTGCCTCAGCCTCCCAAAGTGCTGGGATTACAGGCGTGAGCCACCGCGCCTGGCCAAAAATGCTATTTTAAAAAAATCAGTAAGCCAGGTATATTATAAGGTAAGGACTTTACTCGTACACGTGGCTACAGCCTGTGTCCCAAGCGCGCAGAGAACACTGGCCCAGACTCATCTGAGGCCCCACGCTCCTCCTTATGGAGCTTGAGAGCCACCACACAGTGGCCTGTTTCCACAGCCACGCCTCGGCTCACCGCCATCTAAGGGTGTCATCCTGCAAAAACAGCGGCTGCTGACACTGACATTCTGTTTTTCCTTCTTTCACGTCGCACTGTGCCCTGCACTCCATTTCCTGCCTGTCTCCTAGGGGGCTTGGCTCCATCAATTATCTCCTCTCTCCAGAATCTTCAATCACTCCTCCCCCACCGGCACCTTCCCCTCTTTGCCTGCAGACATGCATAAATCTCTCCTACCTGAAAGAGGAGAAAGGAAGAAACAGGAAGGCGACCTGCTTCTGCGGCTCCCTCCGACCATGGTCCTATTTTCTGCCTGTTTCACTCAGGCGCTGTGCCGCCCCTCCTACCCTTCCCAGCCTCTCTCAAGCCCCTGCTACCCGGTGCCTCCTTCCACTGGGATTATTTTGCTCACCCAAACTCCACTTCCACTTCCACTCTGATCTGGGGGGTCCTTTGGGGACCCCCCCCACCTTCAGGCCATCTAATTGTCTCAATGCTGACAGCATCCTTCCAAGCTGGCTCAAAGAGGGGCTCTCTTTCAACTGGTGGTGCTGAAGCTGGAAGGACGTAGAGGTGGAATTGCCAAAGGCCATTTTGCTGCCCTGTGGGGAGAACCTGCCTGAGAATGAAGCCAACACAGAGAACTCCAGCCGAGAGATGGAGGATCCCGATGACAGCCTCTGAGCTTCTGGATCCAGCTGTGCCTGAAGTCAAACTCCTGGTGGCTTTCTGGCCTTTGCATCCATAAGACTCCTACAGTTCCCTAACCTGCCACTGAAACGCCTTCTCCAGGTGAAAATCACCTCCCGGTCTTTGTCAGTCCTCAGTCTATGTGTGGCATCCCCGGCAAACCTCTTCCATTTGGTATCTCCCGCTCCACTGGCTTAGGAGCTGCTATACCTCCCTGGTTCTCTGCCTCTCCCACTGACAACTCTCTCTCCATCACCCCAGTCCTACCCTCTCACACCCTTAGTCTGGGGGTGTTCCAAGGCCCAGGCCACTCCTCTCCTGAAACCACCATCCCTCCTTGCCCTCATTCAGATCCTCGTTCCCAGGCAGGCCCTGCTTAACTTTAAGGGTCAAGCTCTGCCTTCTCTCCCCCGGCACCATCCTTCAATTCCAACAACCTCTTAGGAGGTCCAGATGTGTCCACTTTGTCACTTCAGTCTCCAAGTGCCTAAAATAGGAGTTTGTCATCAACCCCTCCAGCTGGCATCGTCTGTCCTGCACTAAGAATCAAGACAACCAGACTCTCACCACGCCCACAGCTCTGAGTGTGGCCACCGCGGACTCCTGCCCCTCCCCTCTACCCTCCCCACCATGATCACTCTGCTGCAGCCCCACTGGCCCTCCTGCTGCCTGGCCAGACTATCTCTTCTGGCCTCAGAGCCTTTGCCCTTGCTGCGCCCCTGCTAGGAGTGCTCTTCCTCCAGGGGCCCGCTTAGCTGGCTTTGCTTGTCCCCCACCTCCTTGGAGAGGCCTCCTCCGCCAACTTATCCTCCCTCCTGGATGTGTCCCAGTGCGCAGCACAGCCCCTGGGGTGTGGAAATGCCAGTGAAGGGCTGGATGCTGGCACCAACATTACACAGCCCTCCGGATCAGGCCTCGAGGCCGAGGGACTCCCCCTCCATCTGTCGGTTCCGCTGCCCCTGTCCTCTGCCTTCCCCTCCTTCTCATCTGCCATTTAAAAAGATACCACAGGTTTCTTCCATCCTCTCCCCTCAGGCACGAGCCCTAACATCTGGCAGAAGGAACTACCCATATGGATCCTCATGACTTCAGTTTATGTGATTTGATTTCCATTGACTAAAATGAATGGCCTGGGTTGGTTTCCAAGTGCACCGAGGAGACAGCACCGAACGTCACGTGTCAGGGACACTGCCTGAATGTGCCAGACAGGCAGGGACTTTGCTTTCATTCCGCGTCTGCTTTCTAACCTATTCTCCACAAGTTGTACACTCTGGGTTTAAAAGCAGAGGAGTAGATGGCCGGGCGCGGTGGCTCACACCTGTAATCCCAACACTTTGGGAGGCCGAGGTGGGTGGATCATCTAAGGTCAGGAGTTCAAGACCAGTCTGGCCAACATAGGGAAACACCATCTCTACTAAAAATACAAAAATCAGCTGGGTGTGCTGATGCATGCCTATAATCCCAGATACTTGGGAGGTGGAGGCAGGAGAATCGCTTGAACCCAGGAGGCGGAGGTTGCAGTGAGCCGAGACTGCGCCACTGCACTCCAGCCTGGGCGACATAGCAAGACTCCGTCTCAAAAAAACAAACAAAAAAAGCAGAGTAGTGGAGTCTTGCTCTTAGACATCTTTGATGTGAGAGCTGGCTGGGGGCCCACGGACCTCTCTGTCTGGAGACTTCATGGGAATTGGGGAGCAGCTGGGGTCAGTGCTCTGTCCTGTTACCATCGTTTCTATAACCTGCATAGACATCAGAAAGCCACTCCTTCAATCTACAGTCAACACAGTCTGGGAGGGGCCCCCGATGAGGAGATGGTGCTATCAAAGTTTCCGACATACTCCTAGATTGAGGTGAATAGGACTATGGAGTTCTGAACTCAAGTTTGTCAAATTCAACTGCACTGCCATGAGGTATGTGGTGACTGCTACTAAAACAGGAAATGATGAAGTACCGAGCGGAATATCACAGAGCCATGTTTATTCCAGTGAACCACCCTTTGGCCATCACTGATTGGACAAGGAGTGGACACCTGACCCAAGCAGACCAATCAGCTTCTCCTCTGAGACTTTGGAATTGGCTGCAGGAACAAGAGCTGGGACATAGTTACTGGTCAAGGTGTTCATTAAGGATTCACCAAATAACACCCCTGTTACTGCTCAAACTGGGCTGATGAGATCTCCTTCACCTGTAAACAACTGACTCCTGATGAAGATACTTCCAAAACACAGATGGCATTCAATGAGATGCTTTGCTGGGCATAAGAATTCTCAAGCTCGCTCTCTCTCTCTTGCTCTTTCTCTCTTTTTTTAAGAGATGGGATCCTGCTCTGTCTTGATTTTTATAAGTTCCCTAAATTCAATTACTTTAATTTTAATTAATTAATTTTATTTTATTTTTTGAGACAGAGTCTCATTCTGTCGCCCAGGCTGGAGTGCAGTGGCACGATCTCAGCTCACTGCAAGCTCCACCTCTTGAGCTCAAGCGATTCTCATGCCTCAGCCTCCCGAGTAGCTGGGATTACAGGTGCACACCACTACGTCTGGCTAATTTTTGTATTTTTAGTAGACACGATGTTTTGCCATGTTGGTCAGGCTGGTCTCAAATTCTTGACCTCAAGTTATCCACCCACCTCAGCCTCCCAAAGTGCTGGGATTATAGGTGTGAGCCACCGTGCCCAATTTTCATTTTTTTAGAGACAGTCTCTCACTCTGTCACCCAGGCTAGAGTGATGTGGTACGATCATGGCTGACGGCAGCCTTGAACTCCAGACTTGAACTGCAGGCTTTGTTTCACTTTAATTTCTTTTCAGGCATTTCAGTGCCTAGGTTCAAGTGGTCCGCCTGCCTCAGCCTCCCAAATAGGTGGGACTACAGACACACACAACCACACTCAGCTATTTCTTTTTTAACTTTTGTAGAGATGGGGGTCTTATTATATTGCCCAGACTGGTCTTGAACTCCTGGCCTCAAGAAATCTTCCCACCTTAACCTTCAAAGGTGCTGGGTTTACAGGTGTGAGACAGTGCACCCAGTTCCCAGGCACTCTCCTATAAAGGAAACACAATTCTGATCCCAGAATGGAACTCGGATAGTCATTCTATACAAGCATTCTTGGTGGGCTGGCCTGCACCTTTCCAGAAGGGCATGGCTATGGGATTTGGCTTGAGGTAATGGATGATGTAAAATTTCTAAGCAACTTTCCTTTTTAGCTCTTCTGGCTTAACAGGCATGAAATCTCAAGGGCTTGGTTCTTAATGTGCCACTGAGCCAAGCCTGAAATGCTTGGAAAGAAATTAAAGTGAAACAAAATCTCCTGAACTTGGGCGAGTTAGAATAACACGGTTGCCTCAGAACTCCCGGAGGCTTTGCACGACTCTGTGCAGGGAAAGCTTGGGATAGCCTGGTTTTCCGGGGCAAATGGGTGACGATGGCTGTGACCACAGGCAGTGACTACTAAAGGGTAGTGTTTGGAAACACATATGGTAGAGCTGATCTGCCTGAGTTCGTGTCCTGACTGTCTATGTGACCTACAGAATGTGACTTCAATCTCAGGTTCTCTTCATCTGTAAAATGAGTCTGCCATGAGGTTATCTGGGTGACGTGCTGGACCAGAGCCTAGCTTACCGCAAGCATGCTGTGCACCTGGTCACTGCAGTTCTTATAGTGACCCTCCCACACTGCGGAGGACCTGCCATGAGCCAGGTACCTGCCCTCGGAGAGCTCCTCAACTCCTTCCTTCCACTTTGTCCTCCTCCTGACACTGACTGAGCTTCGGTGTTAAGTTTCAGAAGGGGTGAGCAGCAACAGTCTGTGAGGCTGGGGGACCAGGGGAGGCTGCTCTGCCTAGGAAGACAGAGTCTGAGGAACTTGTTCCTGTATCCTAAGTGACATGTCAGGGGTATGTCTCTATTAGAGAGAGCCCTAATAGAGAAGATGCTGATTTGAATCATTAAAAAAATGCATGCATTAAGACATGAAATTAACCCAAATGCCCATCAATGATAGACTGGATAAAGAAAATGTGGTACACATACACCATGGAATACTATACAGCCATAAAAAGGAATGAGATTGGACCGGGCGTGGTGGCTCGCCCCTGTAATCCCAGCACTTTGGAAGTCTGAGATGGACAGTTCACAAGGTCAGGAGCTCACGACTATCCTGGCTAACACAGCAAAACCCCGTCTCTACTAAAAATACAAAAAATCAACCGGGCATGCTGGCATGTGCCTATAATCCAGCTGCTTGGGAGGCTGAGGCAGAAGAATCACTTGGACCTGGGAGGTGGAGGCTGCAGTGAGCTGAGACTGCGCCACTGCTCTCTAGCCTNAGTGTATGTGAGCAAGTTCGGGCATGGTGGCTCACGTTTGTAATCCCAGCACTTTGGGAGGCCAAAGCAGGTGGATCAGTTGAGGTCAGGAATTTGAGTCCAGCCTGGCCAACATGGCAAAATCCACCTCTATTAATAATACAAAAATTAGCCAGGCATGGAGGTACATTCCTGTAATCCCAGCTGCTAAGGAGGCTGAGGCACAAGAACTGCTTGAATCTGGGAGGCAGAGGTTGCAGTGAGCTGAAATCGTGCCAGTGCATTCCAGCCTGGGCGACAAAGTGAGATACAAAAAAAAAAAAAAAAAAAAAAAAAAAAAGGAACAAGATCATGTCCTTTGCAGGGGCATGGATGTAGCCAGGAGCCATTCTCCTCGGTAAACTAATGCAGGAACAGAAAACTAAGCACTGCATGTTTTCACTGATAAGTGGGAGCTGAACTGTGAGAACACATGCACATAGGGAGGGGAACATCACGCACTGGGGCCTGCTGGGGGGTGTAGTAGTGAGGGGGAGAGCATTGGGAGGAGTAGCTAATGCATGCTGGGCTTAACACCTAGGTGATAGGTTGATCTGCGCAGCAAACCACCATGGCACACGTTTACCTATGTAACAAACCTGCACATCCTGCACATGTATCCTGGAACTTAAAATAAAAACTAAAAAAAAAAAAAGAAACTAAAACCAGAAAAAAAACGCATGCCTTAGCTACGCATAGATATTTCACCCAGAGGCATCATCTCAGAGGGGGTGGTGACGATGTCAGAGCAGCTAATATCTTTTGGGGGCTCCTGTGTGCCAGGCGCTGTGTTAAACGCTCCACAAGTATGATCTCATTTGATCCTCCCAGCACCCCATGTATTATTAGTGTCATTTTACAGATGAGGAAACTGAGGCTTAGCAGGGTGTGGGTTGGAGGTGATGGAGCCAGGAAACCAGCCCGGGCGGCCTGGCTCCAAGGCTTGTGCCCCCACGTGGTAGGGGGTGGGGTTAAATCCAGAGGCTTTAGGGGTGAGGCCTGAGCACTCTGGATGGAAGAGGACCTCGGCCACGCTAGTGCTGAAATAATGGCTACTGCTCACCGAGCGCGCATCATGTGACAGGCTCAGTGTTGCTATTGAGAAGCCATCATCTCATTCCCTCCCCACTGCATAGGGAAGTCATTACCATTTTACAGATGAAACACTGAGGCCAAGAGCTGTGTGCCTGGCTACAGGTCCCAGGTCTGTAAGTGGCCGAGTTTGGATTCAATGGTTTGACTCCCAGCTGCTATCCATGCTCCTTCCCTGGAGCCAAATCTGAGTGTAAATATTGAGAATCCCTGCCCTGATGGACTCTCCTTTCAGAATCAGGAGCGCCCTTGAAGATCATCTACTGTAAA